TGTGTGTGGATGTTGGTGGTGTCAGTGGCTGCTATTCTTATAATTATACAAGTAATGTATGCTCATTGTGGAAATTTTGGAGAAATTAGAAAAGTAGTATATAATAAGAAAAATTAAAATTATCCTTTATCCCATCTATTAATGGAATTAGTCTGTAGCGTATTTCCCTGTAATGTACATGTAACTCTGTGTCTGTTCTTCCCATTTATGTTATTCTGTGTGTGAACATTTTCCAGTCTCATGATTTCTAGGGTTCCACTGAAGTTCATGATGGGTAGTAATTTAGAGTTTAGGTGAGTTTTGGTGTTTTTGGTACTGTATCTAATGCCATAGTACGTACTGGCATGTGCTTGCAAGGAAGGGGAGTGGTCTGGAGGGGGTAAAGTTTTGATGAGGAGGCCCATTAAGGGGTAGGCTTCCAAGTGGACACCCCAGTGTATTTTCTGCCTCCTCCTCTTTCTTGATTCAAGAGAAGCGTTCTCCAGTAGAAGTAGAATGCAGGTCATGTGTGTCGTTTCAAAATTTTTTTCAATTTGTTGTTGTTGTTGTTGTTGTTGTTGTGAGACAGGGTCTCACTCTGTTGCCCAGGCTGGTCTGGAATTCCTAGGCTCAAGCAATCCTCCGGCCCCAGCCTTGCAAGTACCTGGGGCTACAGGTGTGTGCCAGTGTGCCTGGCTTCATTTCAAATCTTTTTAGAGCCACATTAAAAATGTAAAAAGAAAAAAAAATGTAAAAAGATAGCTGAGCATAGTGGCTTATGCCTGTAATCCAAGCTACTTGGGAGGCTGAGGTGGGAGGCCACGAGTTGGAGTCCAGCCTGGGCAACATAGTGAGACACTATCTCAAAAACAAAAGTAAAAGGAAACAAGTGAATTTGTATTTAAAAATATATTTTATTGGCCGGGTGCGGTGGCTCACGCCTGTAATCCCAGCACTTTGGGAGGCCGAGGCAGGTGGATCACGAGGTCAAGAGATCGAGACCATCCTGGTCAACATGGTGAAACCCCGTCTCTACTACAAATACAAAAAATTAGCTGGGCAAGGTGGCGCATGCTTGTAATCCCAGCTACTCAGGAGGCTGAGGCAGGAGAATTGCCTGAACCCAGGAGGCGGAGGTTGTGGTGAGCCGAGATGGCGCCATTGCACTCCAGCCTGGGTAAACAAGAGGGGAACTCTGACTCAAAAAAAAAAAAAAAAAAAAAAAAAAAAACAAAGCAAACAAACAATATATATATATATATATATATATATAATTTAACCCATATAAATATTTTCAATATGTAATCAGTATAAAATTATGACATATTGTACATTCTCTTTTACAAGATTTTTTTTTGAGACGGAGTTTCATTCTTGTTGCCCAGGCAGGAGTGCAGTGGCACGATCTCAGCTCACTGCAACCTGTGCCTCCCGTGTTCAAGCGATTCTCCTGCCTCAGCCTCCAGAGTAGCTGGAATTACAGGCATGCACCACCATGTCTGGCTAATTTTGTATTTTTAGTAGAGATGGGGTTTCACCATGTTGGTCAGGCTGGTCTCAAACTCCTGACCTCAGGTTTGCCTGCCTCAACTCCCAAAGGGCTGGGATTACAGTTGTGAGCCATCACCTCCTTATAAGATCTTTAAAACTAAATCTTTGAAGCCCCATGTATAGTTTATACTTGCAGCACATCTCATTTCAGATGCTAAATTTTCACCAGAATACTTGATCTGTGTTTAGATTTCATAAAATTTGCATTTGGAAAAGGAGGTCGGCATATCCAAGTTACTCCCTTCAGTTGCTATAGTCGTATTCAGTAGCTCTGAGACTAGTAGGGGCTCCCAGAACCAGCACTTAGCCCAGGGTGTAGGGGTGGAGATGGGAGTTCTGTTCATGGGTGACACTCTTAGGGCTAGGGTGGCTACTGGAGGGTTTCAGGCCTCAGGCTTTAGACTGTGTTTATCTAATAGGCCCAGGGGAGCCATTAAAAGTTACGGAGCTAGAGAGTGACACCATGACAGTTATTTAGGAGGATAAATTTGGCCATGGCTGAGGGTCAGACGGAAGTGGAGACAGAAATCCATGGGAGCAGACTGCAGGAATCCAAGGGCTAGAGGGGTGGTGGGATGAAGGGGCCTGGGAACATGGGGGTGGGCAAGAAGGGACCCCGGACTCTGAGTTAAGCCTGAAGAAATGGAAGAGAAGATGGGCTTGGCAGAGATGCCTTAAAATTGAAGTGATAAGTAAGGCTGGGCACAGTGGCCCACACCTGTAATTCCAGCAGTTTGGGAAGCTGAGGTGGGTGGATCATGAGGTCAGGAGTTTGAGACCAGCCTGACCAATGTGGTGAAACCCTGTCTCTACTAAAAATACAAAAATTAGCTGGGTGTGGTGGTGAGCACCTGTAATCCCAGCTACTCAGGAGGCTGAGGCAGGAGAACCGCTTGAACCTGGGAGGTGGAGGTTGCAGTGAGCCAAGATTATGCCATTGCACTCCAGCCTGGGCAACAGAGTGAGACTCAGTTTAAAAAAAAAAGAAAAAAAAATTGAGGTGATAGAGGGACAACAGGCAGAAATTCCCAGATTGGGGACTGTGAATGCAGAGCCACAGAAATGTGGGGCTTGTCTGTAGGGGATGTCAGATCTGGGGAAGAATTCAGGTCAGCTTTATTCCAGGTTTTGGCCTTATTCTTTGTGATAAGAAATAAACTTAAGGCTGGGCGTGGTGGCTCACACCTGGAATCACAGCACTTTGGGAGGCCAAGGCAGGTGGATCACCTGAGGTCAGGAGTTCAAGACCAGCCTGGCCAACATTGTGAAACCCCATCTCTACTAAAAATACAAAAATTAGCTGGTTGTAGTGGTAGGTGCTTGTAGTCTCAGCTACTCGGGAGGCCGAGGCAGGAGAATCGCTTGAACTCAGGAGGCGGAGGTTGCAGTGAGCCGAGATCTCACCACTGCACTCCAGCTTGAGCAACAAGAGACTCTGTCTCAAAAAAAAAAAAAAAAAAGGAAATAAAACAGATTTATACCACATATCTATTGGAATCTTCCAACCCCAAATTATCATTGTTTTAAATATTCCTGGGGGTTGGGTGCAGCTGCTGATGCCTGTAATCCCACCACTTTGGGAGGCCGAGGCAGGCAGATCACTTGAGCTCAGAAGTTCAGGACCAACCTGACCAACATGGTGAAACCCCATCTCTACTAAATACAAAAATTAGCCAGGTGTGATGGCATGTGCCTGTAATCCTAGCTACTCAGGAGGCTGTGGCTTGAGAATCGCCTGAACCTAGGAGGTGGAGGTTGCAGTGAGCTGAGATCACACCACTGCACTCCAGCCTGGGCAAGAGAGCAAGATTCTATCTCAAAAAAATAACTGAATAAAAAGATAAAAATAAATATTTCTGGGGATTGGCAAGATGTAGTCCATGTGGGAATGGAATGATCATCTATTTTATTTCATTTATTTATTTAAGCAGGGTCTCACTCTGTTGCCTAGGCTGCAGTGCAATGGTGCAATTAAAGCTCACTGCAGCCTCCACCTTCTGAGCTCAAGGGCTCCTCCCACACCAGCCTCCTATGTAGCTGAGACCACAGGCACAGGCTACCATGTCCAGCTAATTTTTTGATTTTTTGTCGAGATGGGCTCTTGTTACGTTGCCCAGGCTGGTCTTGATCTCCTGGGCTCAGGTGATCCTCTCACCTTAGCCTCTCAAGGTGCTGGGATTACACATGTGAGCCTCTGTACCTGGCCCACTTATTTTATTCTTTATAATTTTATTCCATTATATAGTAATATGCTTACTTTGGAAAATTTGAAAAACACAAATAGAAGGGAAGGGCACCCTACCTTTGAAGCTCTCAGAGCAGCTTTCACTGTGAGCGTTATTTTGGGGTATGTCCTACAAGCTTTTATTTATTTATTTGTTTTGAGACAGTCTGGCTCTGTCACCCAGGCTGGAGTGCTGTGGCATAATCTCAGCTCACTGCAACCTCCGCCTCTCAGGTTTGAGCGACTCTCCTGCCTCAGCCTCTGGAGTAGCTGGGATTACAGGTGCTTGCCACCACGCCCGGCTAGTATTTGTATTTTTAGTAGAGATGGGGTTTCTCTTAAGTTTATTTTTATTTTATTTTATTTATTTATTTAATAAAGTTTAAGCCCAGGCTGGGCTTAAACTTCTGACCTCAAGCAATCCAGTCACCTTGGCCTCCCAAAGTGCTGGGTTACAGGTGTGAGCCACCTCGCCTGGCCCCTTCATCTATTAATCCAATTTTTTAAAATGTGGATTTTTTTATGGAGGTGAAATGTATGTAACATTCAGTTAACCTTTTAAAGTGTACAGGTTGGTGGTATTTAGTGTACTATTTCAATCTCTGTGATCACATACATTCTGGTGGGTGGGAAGCAGTACCTCAGTGTGGGTTTGCTTTGCATTTCCCTGAGGACTGATGCTGTTGAGCTGCATTTCACGTGTTCGTTGACCATTTGTCTGTCTTCTTTGGAGAAATGCCCACTTTCTACTCGGATTGTTTGCCTTTCATCAATCCAATTTTTTTTCAAGTATGTTTAGTTTTTTGTTTTATATGGCTATGATCATAACACATGCACATTTTATATCTGGTACTTTTTGCTGAACATGGAAGATCAGCATTTTTGGCCAGGTGCGGTGGTTCACACCTGTGATCCCAGCATTTTGGTAGGCTCAGGCAGGAGGATCACTTGAGCCCAGGAGGTTGAGGCTTTAGTGAGCTGTGATCACACTACTGCATTTCAACCTGGGCAGCAGAGATGTCTTAAAAAAGATGAGCATTTTCTGTGTAACTGGAGACTTCTGAAGAGCGGCAGGGCATTTTTTGAAATCCCAAGTGGTGCTCCTTCTCCCTTATGTTTTCTTGGGTTCCCGGGCCCTGCCTGGGTGGTGGGGTAGAAGCCAGTGCTGGGCAGGACTGGGTCACAGCTCAGGCGTATCCTCTCCTCCTCCCTCTGCACCTCATATGGACCTCCTGGCTCTGTGCAGAGGCTCCCAGCATGCAGGATGTGCACAACTCCACCAGCAGCCCCCAGATGCCTTTGGGCCGTTGGGAGTCCCTTGCCTCAGGTGAGAGCTTGATCTCAGCCCCCACTCAGAGCCCTGTAGTCTTTGTGTCTGAGTGGATGGTGCATGGGGGTGGAGGTCACGGTTGGGTGCAGCCATGGTGGAGGGGAGAAGGGTCCAGGGGATGGGGGAAGGTGGGTCCGAGTTGGACAGGGCTGGAGGGGAGGAGCCAGTGGATGCAGTGTGTCTTTTGCTTCCTCTTCTTTCTAGACTCCAGAGGCCAGTGGTGGGCAGCCCGGGGTGACCCCAGGGGAGAACAAGGTGACCCCAGAGGCAACCAGGGCACCCACCTGTCAGCCCTGGGCCCCTCTCCCTCTCTGCAGCAGTCCTCATACCAGCAACCCCTGTGGTCTGGCTCAGGGCCCCATGACTGCAGACACAGTCCTCATGGCTGCTGCCCCGATGGCCACACAGTGTCTCTCGGGCCACAGTGGCAAGGCTGCCCTGCAGCCCCCTGTCAGCAGAGCAGGTGGGTGCTGGAGACAGGTCTTCCTCCTCCCCCGTCAAAGAAGGAAGCAGGGGCCCTGTGGATGGGCCAACATCTCTGCTCAGAAGCGGGCTGGGGCTGGAGTGGGTGCACAGAGCTCAGGAATAGACGCCCATGCTTTCCTCCCTGGGCTGCCCAGAGCGTGAGATCTTGGGAACTTGGCTTTCTGTGGCTGAGCTTCCTGATGTGCTGACTGGGGACACAAATGCCTGCCTCACCAGAGTGTCAGCCTGTGGATACACAGCCTGAGATTCGGGGAAGGCACTGGGTGTGATTCTAGCTCTCAGATCTAACCAGGATCAGGGAACCCACAGTAAAGGCTGGCCAGGCCAACCAGCTCCCCACAATCTTCCTAACAGCCCTGGCCACTCCTGCTTGTGGATTGGGTCCAAGTCATTCTGCTCCCGCCAGGTGCCCTCACTCTGCCCCTCCTTCTTCTGTGGCCTGCCCTGGATGAATCGACAGTGTACTCTCTCTCTGAGACTGGGTGCTTATGTGCCCAGACTTTATGGCCAGTAGCCTGGGGGCAGTTCCCAGCTCAGCCACTCATCAGCCATGTGCTGGTGACTTGGGCCACGTGACTTAACCTCTCTGAACTTGGCTTCCTCTTCTGAGAACTGGGAATAATGATAATGATGATGGGGTTCCTGTGAGGCTGAAGCGCATCACAGCGTGCCTGGCACAGAGAGGGTGCTGGGTACCCTCCCTCCTTTCACCTTGCCTCCTGGCACCTGGTGGGTGGGTGTGGAGTAAATGGTGGGTTCCTTTGAACCCCCTCTTCCACCCCATCTCCCATCTGCTTCTGTTTTGTAACCCCCGCTGTGAACTGACATCTGTTCAGGCTTGGGTGAACATCCCCCTTCTTGGTTTTGTGGGCTGTGCAGCTGAGGCTCTGCCAGTTATGAGGAGTGCAGCCACTGCTTGTGTTACAGTTGCCCTCCCTGGTAGCCACTAAGAGTTGGTGGATGTAGGCAGAGATTGTGGCACACAAAATGGCCTGCCCTGTCTGCTGGGACACATCGTCTCCCACCTCAGTTCCCCCTAGTCAGACCCCACGGTGGGGTGCCTCAGAGCCTGGGTCCTGGGATGCAGGGAGCATGGGGGCAGGCGGCTCAGGGAGGGGCTGTGTGATGTCTGCCTAGGTATGGGTGCTGCCCTGATGGTGTATCTGTTGCTGAGGGGCCCCATCATGCTGGCTGCACAAGGTCATATGGCAGAGACAGCGCTGGGAGCAGGCCCAGGTCAAGGGCAGTGGCTTCTACAGTAAGTGTCTGGCCTGTGTGAGGGAAGCAGGAGGCTGCTCAGTGTCAATGTGACCCAGGATCTTTGCCACTTTGTCCTTGGAGAAAGGAGATCCCTGCAAACCTGCTGCCTGGGGCATCCTCTGAGGGGCACTGGGTTCTAAAGATGGTCCTGGGCTGGAGCGGGGGGTTCAACCCATGTTCTCCTGGCCTCTGGTCTCCCCTGGGCTGGGGTTCTGGTCCCTCCTCCTTCCTGTCATCCTCCCCGTGGCAGCCCAGAGTCCCCAACAATGGCCAGACCCAGTGCCAACATCCAAATCATGGGCTTCCTCCCCAGGTCCACCACATCCACCAGCCTCAGGCCCAGCAGAATGAGCCCACTGAGTGCCGGGGCTCCCAGTTTGGCTGTTGCTATGATAACGTGGCCTCTGCAGCCGGTCCTCTTGGGGAAGGCTGTGTGGGACAGCCTAGTCATGGTGAGTGGATGCCCCCTCCTCGTTCCCTATGGTAGACTCTGCTCCCACTGTTCCCCCAGCCCCCACCCAGAGCGGAAGACCTTCCTACTGGCTAAGTTAGTCATTCATTCCTTCCACAAACATTTATTGAGCGCCTGCTAGGTGCCAGGCCAGAGGGCAGTGCCAAAGTGTTCTTGCATCCAGCAGTTTGTACCTGTGGCCTTCTGGCTGCTTCTGGGAACTGGGGAGGGTGGGAGGTGGGGATCCCAAGGGGCTGGGAGGCCAGTCTTGTGCTTGGGAGTCAGTCAGGCCCTTTGAGGCAGAGCCGGTACAGGGCAGTTAGTGCTGGGATGGGCAGGGGCACCCTGACCCTGCCTGGGATGTGGGTGTAGCAGGAGTTGAGTGCTGGAGAGAGGGTGGAGGCAGGGAGGACTTTGAGGCTGCAGCTCAGGATGAATGACTAGAGCTGCTGGGAACCATCATGAGGTCCTCAAAAGCCAGACCAGGGCTGTGGCCAGGGCTGGCAGGAGGCTGGGCACCTGCACGGGCACCCATGGTCATGTCTAAACGTGGAGAGATGCATCAGGCATGCTGGCAAGGGCTGTTGGAATGGCAGGCTGGGTGCTGGAGGTGGGCTCAGGCCTGTCAGTGCAGGGTCCTGGGGACAAGGGCAGGCCCTTGCTGGGCATCTTCACAGCCCCTGGGTGGCTCAGGCCTGTGTCCCTCTCACAAGCTAAGCAGGCAGGGCCACCCTCTGGGCTCACTTTGCATGCAGTCTGTGGCAGGGAAGGCCAAGTGTCCAAGGAAGCCAGCCCAGAGAGCCCTGGCCCTGACCTCCCTCCTGGTGGCTCTAGCTGTGTGGGCGAAGGTTGCTATGGCACCAGCCTGGGGCAGGTCTGCACAATGGACAGGCTCTGGCAGAATTGGCCTGCGTTCCAGGACAAAGTCAGGCCCCCAGGCAGGGGTGTAGACGTGCTTTATAAATGGGGAAGGACCTGCTTCCTGAGTCGGAGGCTGAGGGGATGGAGGTGTGCCCTGAGTACTGGGACCTCAGTGACATATACCTACCCGTGCTCCACAGCCTATCCCGTGCGGTGCCTGCTGCCCAGCGCCCACGGCTCTTGTGCAGACTGGGCTGCCCGCTGGTACTTCGTCGCCTCTGTGGGCCGATGTAACCGCTTCTGGTATGGCGGCTGTCATGGCAATGCCAATAACTTTGTCTCGGAGCAAGACTGCATGAGCAGCTGCCAGCCTCTCCACCGGCCCCGCCATCCCCAGCCTGGGGCCTCCGGCCAGAGCACCCACACAGATGGTGGTGGCGGCAGTCCTGCAGGCCAGCTGGAACCCAGCCAGCACAGGACAGGGGCTGTGGTGCAGAGAAAGCCCTGGCCTTCTGGTGGTCTCTGGTGGCAAGACGAAAAGCCTGGGCCAGGGGAGGTCCCCCACAGGCAGGCCTTTGGAGAATGGCATCGGGAGCAGGAGCTTGAGGCCAGGGTCCCTGGACTGGGCGGAGATGCCAGATGGCCAGTGCCACCCTTCCATAGCTCCTCCTACAGGTGAGCCCCGCCTTCCCCAGGTATGGGGGTCAGGACGCTGAGGCCAGGAGTGAGCCAGCTGGAGCTAAAGCCCTGAAGCCAGCCGGCCCTCCCTCCCCATCCATAACTTCTGTGTCTTCCAAGATCCCTTCCTGGTGGGCCTTATTGCCATCATTCTACAGATGGAGTAGCTGGGGCTTCAGAGACTTTTGAGTCTCTTCTGATATCTAATAGACATCCGTGCAGATGGTGGCTCTGGATTCTCCACCAGATCTCACCACTATACTCTGCTGTCTGGCTGTCTGGAAAAGATTACTGGCTTCATGGCCATTGGTAAATCACCCAACTTCTCTAAGCCTCAGTTTCTTGACCTGTAAAATGGCAACGTTATCTCCTGCCCTGTATATTTCACAGGTGTGGGTTCTGTTCAAGATTACTCTTGGGACTGGGTCATATTAATGAGGGATTTGGAAAGATTAAAAACATTATGTTCCACATGGGCCGAGTATGTAGCTTAGCCGCCATGGGAACCTGGTGTGTGCCATCCCTCCCTACCTCTCCCCATCCCCTTGTTGCCGCTATAGAACAGACTGAGGCAGTGATGTGGGGGAGTCAGGGGTAGGTTGGGGAGGGTGGATCCTGAATTCATGGGCTTCTGGGGTTCTGCCTCCCAAAGGGACCCTCTAGCCCCCAAAAGTGCCTGTGACCCACCCTGTCTGTCCTGGAACACACTGCTTAGGGTGGTTATGGTCCTGGCACTCAGCCAGTCAGCAGCTCTCACTTCCCACCTCTCCAGGATTAGCTTGGCAGGTACAGAGCCCTCCTTGGTGCAGGCGGCTCTAGGACAGTTGGTGAGGCTCTCCTGCCCAGATGACACTGCCCCAGAATTCCAGGCTGCCTGGCAGAAAGATGGCCAGCCCATCTCCTCTGACAGGTGGGTGACAGCCCCCCATACCTCCCCTGACATGTCATAGCCCCTCCCCACCTCTCCTGACAGGTGTGTGACAACCCCTCACCTCCCCTGACATGTGTGTGACAGCATCCCACCTCCCCTGACAGGTGTGTGACAGCCCCCCCACCTCCCCTGACAGGTGTGTGACAGCCCCCCACCTCCCCTGACAGGTGTGTGAAAGCCCCCCACCTCCCCTGACAGGTGGGTGACAGCACCCCCACCTACTCTGACAGGTGTGTGACAGCCCCCCCACCTCCCCTGACAGGTGTGTGACAGCCCCCCCACCTCCCCTGACAGGTGTGTGACAGCCCCCCACCTCCCCTGACAGGTGTGTGACAGCCCCCCCCACCTCCCCTGACAGGTGTGTGACAGCCCCCCCACCTCCCCTGACAGGTGTGTGACAGCCCCCCCACCGCCCCTGACAGGTGGGTGACAGCCCCCCCCACCTCCCCTGACAGGTGGGTGACAGCCCCCCCACCTCCCCTGACAGGTGGGTGACAGCCCCCCCCACCTCCCCTGACAGGTGGGTGACAGACCCCCCACCTCCCCTGACAGGTGGGTGACAGCCCCCCCACCGCCCCTGACAGGTGGGTGACAGCCCCCCCACCGCCCCTGACAGGTGGGTGACAGCCCCCCCCACCGCCCCTGACAGGTGGGTGACAGCCCCCCCCCCCGCCCCTGACAGGTGGGTGACAGCCCCCCCCACCGCCCCTGACAGGTGGGTGACAGCCCCCCCACCGCCCCTGACAGGTGGGTGACAGCCCCCCCACCGCCCCTGACAGGTGGGTGACAGCCGCCCCACCGCCCCTGACAGGTGGGTGACAGCCGCCCCCACCGCCCCTGACAGGTGGGTGACAGCCCCCCCACCGCCCCTGACAGGTGGGTGACAGCCCCCCACCGCCCCTGACAGGTGGGTGACAGCCCCCCACCTCCCCTGACAGGTGTGTGAAAGCCCCCCACCTCCCCTGACAGGTGGGTGACAGCCTCCCCACCACCCCTGACAGGTGTGTGAAAGCACCCCCACCTCCCCTGACAGGTGTGTGACAGCCCCCACCTCCCCTGATAGGTGTGTGACAGCCTCCCCCACCTCCCCTGACAGGTGTGAATGACTGCCCTCACCTCCTCTGACAGGTGTGACAGCTCCTCCACCTCCTCTGACCGGTGACAGCCTCCCCTGAAGTAGTACCCCAGCCTCACCTGGGTTGGGAGGGTGCTCTGTGGGCTCTGGCCTCCTCTGGCAGGAGCACAGAGGCTGAGGGAAGACTCGGGCGCAGAGCTCATGTGTCCCCCCACTCCCCTTAGGCACAGGCTGCAACCCGATGGCTCCCTGATCATCCACCCCCTGCAGGCAGAGGACGCGGGCACCTACAGCTGTGGCAGCACCCAGCCAGGCCACAACTCTCAGAAGATCCAGCTTCGCATCATAGGTCTCTGCCCCACCCCATCCACCACTGCGTTCTCAGGAGCCCCACAGAGGGAAGGCCAGGATGGGGGGTCTGAGCCAGGGCTGTCACTCACTAAAGGGGCTCAGGGCGTCTCTCTGGGTCAATTCCTCCTGGTGGCAGGGACCACCCTGTGGCCTTCATTTCTCCGTAGTCCCTGCTGGTCTTATGGCCCACCCTTCCTTCCCCTCCCTTTTCCCCACAGTTCACACCTTGTTTCTCCTGGCCTCATGACAGGGGGTGACATGGCTGTGCTGTCTGAGGCTGAGCTGAGCCACTTCTCTCAGCCCAGGAATCCACCTCAGGACTTCGGCCAAGGTGGCGCTGCTGGGGTCCTGGGGGTCATCCCCTCCTCACACCCACAGCCTGCAAACTGGTAAGAGTTCAGCATTGTCATCTTGCCCTCCCCATCCCAGGGCCAGGGCCGATGGTCTCAGTGGGTGAGGAGAGGAAGGTATGTGCGGTGACCAGGCTTTGCTGGCCCCTGTTCAGGGTTCTGGGAGGCCAGGCCTAGAAAAACAGAGCTGGGCCTCTTGAGGAAGCTTCTGGGAACAGTGCAGTTCCATAGGCTCAGGACTCAGGAACTGAGGAAGGGAAGGACGCCCACTAGAGGGCCTGAGCTGGCTTCTTTGGGAAGTGTCTTGAGCTGGCCTTGAGGAATGGTTCAGTTTGCAGAGGGCGTGCCTAAGTCAAAGACCTAGTGGCAAATGTGCAGGGTGGGGTGACAGATGGGTATCCTGGCTGGTGGATGTGTGTTGCAATGGTGGATGGGTAGGGAGCGGTGGGGGCACCTTTAGCCTTCACCCCAGGTAATTATTGAGTTTCCTCAACAGAACAAGGTGGGAGAGCATTTTTAGGAAGCTGAAACTGGCTGGAAAGGGAGAAGGGGCCACCAGGCTTGTGCAGAGGTCCCCATGGGAGTCAGGGGGTGGGACAGGACCAAGGGCCCCTCATGCTGTGGGCTGCTTATTTGGCAGGCTGCGTTTGGACCAGAACCAGCCCCAGGTGGTGGACACCAGTCCAGGCCAGCAGATCCGGCTGACCTGCCACGCCGAAGGCTTCCCACCCCCAGCCATTGAGTGGCAGAGAGATGGGCACCCTGTCTCCTCTCCCAGGTTTGACTCCTCTCCTCTTCCTTCTATTCTGCCTCCAGCCCCACCTTATCCTGTGGGAAGGGAGTGCTTGGGCATTGCCATGGCCAGTTGTGAGCCGGACTCCAGGGCCTCTCGAGAGATGGAGCAGTTGAGAAAGGGCTCTGTGGGCTGGCTAACATTTGAGTCTCTGGGCCTTTCCAGAATGTAGTTAGTGGACAAAAATAAGAGGCCAACTAACAGAGGTGATAGCTGGAGGAGGAAATGGAGTCAGAATACATTTCCAGCTGTAATCATCATCGCTACCCTTTACTGAGTGGGCACTGAGTGTGAGGCTTATTCTGTATCATGTGACCTGCCAAAAAGCCGTATTGAGTAGGTGATGTTTTTCCCCACTTTACACACAGAAGCTTAACATCACACAGCTTATAAGCAGCAGAACCAGTATTTGAGCCCAGTAAATGAGTATAGCAAAAACTAGAAACCCAAACCAAAATTTTGTATCACGAAGCTTGAAATGATTTATATTTTAAGCTTAAAAGCCAGACAGTTTTGGCTGGGTGCAGTGGCTCACACCTGTAATCCCAGCACTTTGGGAGGCTGAGGTGAGTGGATCACAAGGTCAGGAGTTCAAGACCAGCCTGGCCAAGATGCTGAAACCCCATCTCTGAAACTAAAAATACAAAAATAAGCCAGGCGTGGTGGCACACACCTGTAATCTCAGCTAGTCAGGAGGCTGAGACAGGAGAATCACTTGAACCCAGGACACAGAGGTTGCAGCAAGACTGTCTAAAAAAAAAAGTGCCAGCAGCTGCAGGTGTAAAGTCTGAGGACAAACGGTCCTTCTATCAGACCCCAGTGAACACTAGGGTATGCTTAGCCTCTCACTAGGGACCTGGAAGACCTTTTATGTTCCCTCCCTGCCTCTATGCTTGAGGGACAGAGCTGGAGGAGAGGGGAGGCCGCCGCTTGGGCTGGAGCCAACTGGCTATACTTGGTCCCCAGACACCAGCTGCAGCCTGATGGCTCCCTGTTCATCAGCCAGGTGGCTGTAGAAGATGGCGGCTTTTACACCTGTGTTGCTTTCAATGGGCAGGACCGAGACCAGCGATGGGTCCAGCTCAGAGTTCTGGGTAAAGTGGCAGTCCTGAGGGGCCTTTGAGGTCAGGTGGCATGGGTAGGATCTTTAGAGTGGCTAACAATGTCTTGTCCTTGTGCCCAGGGGAGCTGACAATCTCAGGAATGCCCCCTACTGTGACAGTGCCTGAAGGTGACACTGCCAGGCTGTTGTGTGTGGTAGCAGGAGAAAGTGTGAACATCAAGTGGTCCAGGTAAAGGCTCTATTCCAAGCTTCTCCTGCCCCCAGACCTTCACAACCTCAGGTGTGGGTGTCCACCTTTCTGCCAGGGATGTCACTGTCGCCACTGCCCCCACTGTGCTTCCAGGCCTGGTGCCAGGGGAGAGGGCTGCAGCACAGTTATCCCTACACAGCACAGCCCTGTAGGACCACTGGCTCTCTGCTGGTTGGGCTATGCTAGTTTCCTAACCTCAGCCCCGCTCAGTGTGGAGCTGGTAAGTTTTGCTTGCTAAGGGCTGGGCTGTGCTTTGCAGGATGTTGGGCAGCATCCAGGGCATCTACCCACTAGATGCCGGGAGCACCCTCCCCAAAGTCATGACAATAAAGAATATCTCCAGACCCACTGCCAATGTCCCCTGGTGGCAAAATATCTCTTGGGGGTGTGAACTATACTCAGCTTTGGGGACTTCAGTGGTCTTTTACCCTAGATCAGTCTGTTTTTTATTTGTCCTTTCATTCAGTAGACTTTCTTGTCCCCTCCCTCCCTGTAATGTGTCAGTACTAGGCTAGGTTCTGGGGATCCTGGGGTCACCTGAGCCCCAGGGCACTCCCGGGCAGATGGCCCAGTGTTCCTGGAGCTCCAGATGTGTTTTCCTCCAAGTGGTGTCTGTGCACAGAAGAGTGAGGCTGCTTCAGGTCTGGAGAGTCAAGGAAGGGTGGGCCAGGAAATGACTTTGGCTGTACCCTAATAGCTGAAGATGGCAAAGGATGTTCTTGGTAGAGGAAGCAACAAGTGCCAAAGGTGGGCATTTGAGAGAGGATGCCAGGATGGAAACTGGCCTGAGCACTGGTGGGGAGGGGTGATGGCATTGTGGAAAGCATCTCAGTCTTGTGTGGCCTTGAGCCCAGGAAGGCATAGGATGCTGCTGCTGGTTTCCCTGCTGGTGTGCTCGGGCCAGCCCTCCCAGGCCTGCTTCTCCATGTTGGCCTCTCCTGGATCCTTCCAGCAAACGCGCTCCTCTCTTCAGAACCACCTTCCTGTGAGTTAGTATGTCCCTGCAGACCCTATGCGGACATGGCATCCCCTTCAAAGCTGTCCATGTGGGTTGCCTCTGCCTGTTCACCTCCCTACTCACTTCTCAGGCCCTGCAGTGGGGCCACACATTAGCCCCATCATGGCCAAGGCCATTGCCTCTCTCCCTCACTCTGCTGGACAACTCGCAGTCTTTATGCGACCCGTAGTGTTGTTCTGTTGACCATATGTTCCTTCTTGAAATTCTCCCTTCCCTCAGCTGTGGGAAACCATTGTCTTCTGGTGTGCCTCAGGGCCTGTCCTCAGTCCTTGGTTGCTCACTGTGTAATTTGGACAACCTTATAGACATGGTACTTTGCTGTCAGCGTGATGCTGATAGCTGATACTTTGTCTGGGTCTGCACTCTTGAGCTCCAGACTTCAAATCTGAGGCCTTCTGCTATCTCAAAGGCACCCCAAATTTGAAATGGCATAAAATAATCTCACCATTCACCCTGGTCTTGGATCTCCCAAGGTTGGAGGAGTACTAGCATCGCCCAGTAAACCAAGCTAGAAACCTTGGTCATTCTTGATTTCTCCCTCTCCTCCACCTGTTTGCCCTCAAGGGGAGGAATGGTTGGCTCTGGAATGGCCTTTGATTACCTCCTGCCTCTGTCTCCCAGGCCTCCAGAGGCCCTTGATGACCCTCCCAGTGTCCTCTCCCCGCCAGGAACGGGCTACCTGTGCAAGCTGACGGCCACCGTGTCCACCAGTCTCCAGATGGCACGCTGCTGATTTACAACTTGCGGGCCAGGGATGAGGGCTCCTACACATGCAGCGCCTACCGGGGGAACCAGGCAGTCAGCCACAGCACCGAGGTGAAGGTGGTATCACCAGGTAGGAAAGGTCTATCTCCGGGGAAGGGTAGGGCTTCCCCAGTATATTTACTGGTTCTCGAGGGCTGGCTCTGCAGTCTGAGGGACTCCGGTTTGAATCCTGGCTCCCCCTGTCAGTTGCTGGTAGTGTGACTTGAGGCAAGGAGCTTACCTTCCTGAGCCTCATTTTCCTCTATCCAGTGGGACTGCTCCACTGCCTGAGAAGGCTGTAGTGGAGAAGGAAATGATGCTTTGCTGGGCCCCTGGAGATAGCTTAATAGATGTTAAGTGCATGCAGGACGTTCAGACTCACCAATTTTGAGAAATATGACTGACTGGAATTTCATTATAAAACTTAAGGCAGATAGACCACTAAAATCTGTCCACTATAATCAGGGTGGCAAAAAGGTGGTCCTATGACTGAAAAGTACCTTGATGGTCATTTGACCATATAACCCAGAAAGGAAAGGGCAGAGAGTCTCATCATCATTTTACAAATGAGACAGGTATCCAGACAGCGCAAGTGGTGTTTCCACCAGTCACAGCACATATGGCCTACCTGAGACTAGAGCCCATGTCTTCTGACTCCCCATATATTTTTCCCCCCACCACGAACTTACCTGTACCTAAGTAAAATCTTGCATCATTTGATATTGTAGCCTTACATTTTCTAGCTACTATTGTATCATATTTCAACAAATCCGAATTCTCTGTAAGATGCATTATTTTTGTACCAAGAAAAATATGCTGTTAATGAAATGACACAATGCTGATACCATCAATAAGGATGCGGACCAACTTGAGAGATGTGAAAATAAGTGCATATCAGAACTGATGGAACAGACTGTGGTTTTGTGTTCACACTTACAAAAGCTGTGTTCAAATAAGCCAGAGGGAAAGGGAAAGGGCTTTGCCCCCTGCCCCAGCCTGCTTCCCTCGTGTCCTTGGTTCTTGTTCACTGAGGGACTGGAGCAGAGTGGCACCTCGGGTCAAACCACCATTTCTCACAGGACTGATAGAGACCTTGGGGGGAGTATGCCAGGCTTGGAGGTGTCAGGGCCCTTCCTGCCTGGTCTTCTGGATGCCCCTGACAATCAGGGCTGCAGTGCCACACCAGGAGCACGGTTACACTAAGAGGGGCAGGCCGGGCTGCCTCCTGGCTGCCAGGCTGAGGGTGACGACTGGCTGGTACTAGAAGTTGAAGGTCTGTGACTGAAATGTTGCCTTGTGAGTGGGACTGACATGTTGGGTTCCCGTCTATGATCTCTTTAGGCATCAGTTGGGATTTGCCTCCCCAGGGTCCCGCTCAGTGCTTGGCATGACTAGGTGCTCATGTTGTGGCAGAAAACGGCGCCCAGCAGCTTTTTCTTACCTGTTGCTTGGCGGGCGGGAGGGAGGGTTACAGGGTTCCTTCCTGCCACTTCACTAGCTGCCAGCCGACCGCCTAGACCTCTGTCCAAGGCTTGCTCTGCTCGTCTTGCTCCGCCCACTCAGCCCGGCAGGATGTGCTTGGCTGGTGCTACCGGCCGGGATCCACGCCCACGGTGGCTCTGCACTCAGCGCACCGCACAGGCGGCTTCTGTGCTGGGTGCTGGTGTATAGACAGACAAGGGGAACATGGTGGTGCTTGAACATTGAGATGCCAGCAACCGCGGAGCCCTGAGGGAGTGCTGCAGGGGCAAATGTTCCCGCAGCTCAGTGAAGGGTGAACCGGAGCGTTACAGCTCCATCTCCCCTCCATTCCGTCCTTCTCGCGGAGCTACAAAAGCGGCAACACTCAGGTATTTGGTGACTCAGTGTCTGCCTGCACAAAATGATGGAATTACCCTGGAGAAAGCACCACACTCCAGGGACTACTTTTCACCTGTATCATGTCCAGAAAAGTGACCCTGTCTACATAATCAAGGCTCTGAGACAAACCAAAATGCAGATTCACAGTGAGAAACAGAACTGTTAAGAGGTCCTAGATATATTTGTGATTAGCTACAGATGGGATTAATTATATGGGAAACCAAATTACAATGAGAAACTTGCCTGATGATACCTGGTTACCAAGCTAAAATGGCCTGATGAGATGTGTGTCCCAGATGGGACAGATAGCTTCAGACTGGCCACCCTTCTCAGGCCCTCTGCTGGCTGCTCTTTACCTGTTCATTTTTTCATTGGGTCACACAGCATGAGGTTGCCTGACCCTGCCCTACTCATGGTTGGGTGGCACACTGGAATTTCAGTGTTGGCACCAGGGTAGGAGGCCTTGGACTAGTCAGGCTGAGGTATAAGGGACATAGCTCTGCTGGGAGGACTTCTCCACATCCCTGTGAAGTAGGTGCCATTAATCCCATTTCACAGATGATGAAATATGCATGAAAGGCTTCAGCAACTTGCCCAGAGTTATCCAGCTGGCAGGTGGCAGAGCCTGGATTGAGCCCAGGCAGTCTGGGTCCAGAGCTGGTGTGCCTAATCATGATGCGGAGTTCCCACTATGATAGGTCTCAGGGCTATACCAGCTCAGACAGAGTTGATAGCAAAGTTACAGATTTTTAGAAACAAAATGCATTAATGGCTTTTCCAGCTATGTAAATTTAGTTAGTATTCTGGTTATACCAAACCTTTGTAAGGTTGTTTGCTGCTAGGTACAGTCTTTTACGAGGAAACAAGGGGAGAGAAGGGAAAAGCTTTCTCTGGCTCCCTGAGGTCTGACTTGAGGGAAGGTACTGCTCTGGTCTAAGTCAGCTGGGTTGTAAGAACCCCTTCCAGAAAGAAGAGAAATGAGGCAGTAGAAGGAAACTCTTAATAGGGAGTTCCAAGATACAGGTGTTCCTAGTAAATTCAGAGGGAGCGACACAAGGTCTTTGTTCTCAGTATATTAGAGTCACCGTTAACAAGACTGTTTTCCTATTACCTTGTCTAATATGCATTGCTTCCTCTGGGGAAAGTGAAAAACTGGAAGGATGAAGACCTAGGTGACTAAGATAAGCTGGTAATATTGAAGGGACAAAACTTTGATGGTTAGGGGAACCCAGCAGAGAAAAGGAAATGATAACACAGCTCTTGCTAACTCAAAATTTACTTGCAGCTGATCCTACGTGCTCTTCCAATCCAGAGGCCAAAGCAGTTGTCATTTAGCAATTCAGGTCTCAAAAGTAAGGCGTTAACATCAAGAGATGTTTAATCATCTGGTCAATAAATATTTGGGAGTCTGGGAAGAGCTATTCACTGGGCTGAGGCCACAAATAATAATGCGAGGGCCACTGCATGTTGAAGTGAGGCCAACAGGTAGAAATCATCATCCCTCACAGGGTTTGTACATATGGTTGTTAAAATGTTACAGGGCAAGTGCACTTCGTTTTGAATCTGGCAATTATAATGTCGTGTTCCTTTGAATGAAATGAAATGGCAAGTGAGAATTGTCAGCATACACAGAGCTTCCTCACCATCTTCTCTCTCCCCTATTCTGCAGCACCCACTGCCCAGCCCAGGGACCCTGGCAGGGAATGCATCGACCAGCCAGAGCTGGCCAACTGTGATTTGATCCTGCAGGCCCAGCTCTGTGGCAATGAGTATTACTCCAGCTTCTGCTGTGCCAGCTGTTCCCGTTTCCAGCCTCACGCTCAGCCCATCTGGCAGTAGGGATGAAGGCCAGCTACAGCCCCAATCCAAAGTAGTTCACAGGGCTGGGGAGAAAGGAAGATGGACTCTTGGCTTCCTCTCTGGCTGGCAAACAGTTATCGTCTGGAATACATTAGCCCTTTCAAAAACCCACCCAGTGTTTAGCCTAAACAGCAAGTACCAGCTTCCCTCTAGCTTTCAGCAGTGTTTGCATCTCTGACATAAATATAGGCTGCTGTTGTCAAGAAGAGCAATCTGTTTGTTTGGTTGAGAACAGCCTTTACTTTTTAATAGGTTTCCTTTATAATTTGTTAGATACGACCAGTCCAATGCATTTTTTTTTTTTTGAGACAGAATTTTGCTGCCCAGGCTGGAGTGCAATGGTGTGATCTTGCCTCACTGTAACCTCTGCCTCCCAGGTTCAAGTGATTCTCCAGCCTCAGCCTCCTGCATAGCTGGGATTACAGGCATGCGCCACCACACATGGCTAATTTTATATTTTTAGTAGACATGGGGATTCTCCATGTTGGTCAGGCTGGTTGCAAACTCCCGACCTCAGGTGATCCACCTGCCTTGGCCTCCCAAAGTGCTGGGATTACAGGCGTGAGCTCCCGTGCCTGGCCCATCAATGGTGTTTTAAAGCTAGCTATCAGGGCTCCACTTGATTTAAAGCTGGGCAGGCACATGTATAATGATTTCAAAGTTAACACCTGTTTTATAAGGGGACTGCCAACTCCTGCTGTATCAGGAAAGTATTCTGTGCTAGAACCAACCATAGTTCATTGTTCTAGTCTCTTTCACCCTTCTAGGCAGTGCTGCAATCAGCTCTAAATCCAGTGCAGAGGGTTAACAGCATAACCCTTGTTGGCAAAATGGAATAGATGTAAGACCTCAAATAGAGATTTGGGATGAAACAGCTGCAGGTAGCACTGTTACCAGAGCATGAAAGAACCGGAAAAGCTCCTTACATCATCGAGAATGTTGGACCTTGAAAGACGCAAAGCTGGCTGTGAAGGTTCATCTGACACCTGTATAAAGCTGACCAGCCTGCTCTGTACAGTGACAGTGAAGAGCCCTCTCTTCCTTAAGTAGGAATCTGTGAAGAAAAATTCTTGCTGCCAGAGAAAAATCAGACTGTTATTAAAAACGGCATTAGCAGGATGGAGATACCAAGGGGGAAGGGTTGTGGGCATTGTAGTAACAGGGAAATGGCTTCAGAAATGGCTTGAGTTGGAAGACATCATTTTCATCTCTCAGAACCTCTAATTCTTTTTGCTAAAACAAGAGGCATGAAATCTATGAGCTTCCAAGTCCCTTTGCACTTTAACCTTCTACAAATCTTCCAGAGGACTGCCTAGTAGCAAAGGTTATTCCTGGACACAGGAAAGACAGGCATCACAGGGACCAAACCTCTGAAAGGTGACTTTTATTACCAACACACTGGATGGAAAAGGGACAAACCACATCATGGGTGAGTGATACTTCTCAGTCTACTACTCATTCAACAAAGGAAACGTGGGCTGGGGCAGAGGTCTGTCTTCATCTAATAGTGGAAAAATACTGAAGAGCATCCACATTCACTTACCATGGCTGATTTTGCCATAGAAATTGGAAAATAAAGGCCACTTTCTTGGAGTTCCCAGTTTAATTAAAATAGAATTTGGCCTATTGGTATAAACACATCACGAGGTAAGTTTGAGATTAACTAGCAGCTAACTAGTTTTAAGAACCAGTCACAGAATAGTGGGCTAAGATTAGAGGTATAACTCATTCTAGGCCAGTGGGTCACAACTTTCTACCATATTGTGAGTTTAAAAAAAAAACGGTGAAACCCCATCTCTACTAAAAATACAAAAAAAAAAAAAAAAAAATTAGCCAGGCGTGGTGGCACATGCCTGTGGTCCCAGCTACTTGGGAGGCTGAGGTGGAAGAATTGCTTGAACCCAGGAGGCAGAGGTTGCAGTAAGCCAAGACTGCACCACTGCACTCCAGCCTGGTGACAGAGCAAGACTCCATCTCCAAAAAAAAAACAACACAACCTGGCGGGGGGGTGGTCCCCCTGCCCCACTAAAATTTTGATTTAATTGATCTGGAATATAGGCCAGGCATTAAGATTTTAAAAAATATCCCCAAGTGGTTCTACTGCATAGCCCAGGTTGAGAAGCACTGCTCCAGTCTTGGGGGGTGCGGAGGGTGAGATTCTGAATTTCTAACCAGCTCCTAGGTGAAGTCTATGCCTTTGTTCCAGACCACACTTTGAGTGGCAAGAATCTGACTTTAGAGAAACACTAGTATTAACTCAAGCTTAAAGTATGAATGAAAATATGAATCTTAAGGGTGTTTTTCTAGTCATTAAATTAGGGATTTGCAGCAGCAGAATAGAGAAAGACCAAAAGAACTAAAAGTAAATTCATTTACTAATAAAGGGGAAAGAACAGCCCTTCATGGGCAAAAGCTTCTACCACGAACATTTATTATTGTTAAAGCAGATTATAAATTCTCATCAGTACAAATATATATATATATATATATATAACTTACATTTGATTGTAAGGCCAATGTTCAAAAGTAAAAATGAGATGAGATCTCTTATTGTTATCCGAGGTCAAGTGGCTGCAACTGTCCAAGGGATGTTCTCACCAAAAGGGGGTTTAGGGGGAAGAAGACATACACAAAGCTAATAAAACCAGAATCCCCATCCCCACAAAACTCATGGGAACAAAATTTAAAGGATAAAACAAAACCCACATTACAAACCAATATGGTAACCTGTGTTCCCTTCTATGGTGTGATTATGTCATTGTTACCTTAGTGTTAAAGGATTAACATAAGGAAATTGCAGCAATATAAGGATAATATATATTCTCTATAGAGCATATTTAGATTGAGTACATTAAAATAATGACATTAGAATTCCATCATAGGTTTAAAACCAGGACAATACTGCTTTTCCTTTATTTAAAAAAACTACAATCTAGTGACTGTATTGGTCATGAGCATGATTGTTGTTGCAATGTGCTACTTACAATGAATGACAGCAAACAAGCTAGGAATCCTCTCTGCAGCTTCCAGCCGTTCCTCTTTTTACTTCAGTAGGCATCAATGATAAATCAATCTTATGTACAATTTCTTACAACTAACCCCTTTACCTTTGGCAAGATTACTTACAACTCATACAACTTTTTAATATCTGAGAACTATTTAAAATATTCTAAATGCATAAAAATAAAGATTTTGGCTTTTGATATATATTTATAATATTTATTTTGTTACTCAAAATGGAAGCTCAACTACTCCCCCAAAATAATATAGCTCTGCTGGGCAGTTGCTGATATGTCCTCCTGGGAATTCTGGCAGCATAGCCTCCCTCTCTCTTCCCTAGCCTGAGCACAGACCACTCTGTTCTTGATCTCTAATACAGGCCATTACTGACAGGAGGCAGGTGAATGGCCTGAAAAAGGGAGATTGCTTTGCTTCCTGTTGGGTTTTATACTTCAGTAAATGTGCTTTGAATATAGATTCTTATTCAGATACTTTTGCCTCTCTGTTGCTAGAGATTTGTAAGGGGTGAGGGAAGAGGGCGTACAGACAGCAACATTTCCTTGACTTTTTCTTTAGCCTAACTGCAAGGCAGCTTCTCTCTAGGAATGGTTTTTCCCACGTCTTTCAAAATCACACCTCAGTACTCTAGGCCTAGACTTGTTCCTAGGGACCTTTGGGATTAGTGAAAAGAGTACTAATCAGGAGACAGTGTGTTTTGCTCCTTTGACCTCCACCCACTGCTCCCTGTATGTATAGACAAGATACAGAGCCCTAGGGATTGCTTAAAGTTCAATTTCAAATGTCTTCTGTAAGTCACTGGAGAAAGGGTTGGTAGGGGAGGGATTAGTACGCTGCTTGGACTTGTTTTCTAATGCAGCCCACTGGGCTTCAAAAGGATCCACTGGGCAGGTGCTTATAGGAACCTCTGGATGCTTGTCTCCTGAGGCCAACCTGCCATCGTCTACACCATTGAAAGCTGCAGAACCGTTGAGGTGCTGAGCAGGAGGCTTAAAGAAGGGACTGGTGGTAGCACTGCTTGCTTCATAGTGAGGGAATGTCTGCTGCTTGACCAGGCTGGGTGACTGATGGGGGTGGGCAGCCTGAGGATGACTTGCAGTGCCAAATACGTTGGCTACCATCTGGGAGGGAGTGATACCCACCACAGGCACATTAGGGGCTGGATAGGGCATTCCATTGGCCACAGGATAGGACTGGGCAGGGACAAAGGCCGGCTGCAGAGCTGGGACCACACCCACTGGCACAGGTTGAGAGGTGAGGAATGCATTCCCTTGGAAAGGCGGTGCTGGCTGGGAGATGGCAGTGGGTGGAGGAGGCTGGAGAACTGGCTGCAGAGGAGCAGCTGAGGCCTGGGGCTGCTGAGCCCGGACGCTCTTAGACACCTCTTCTAACCATCGGTCGGCCTCAGAGGGAGTACGTCTATGACCAGCCTGGAAGAGACCTGGAGAGGCAGCACCAGAAGATTGACCCCACTCAGTCCCTGGAACCAACAAGATGAGAGACAAAAGAATCAGTTAGGGGTGCCTTTCTTTATCTTATAGTCTTGGTTATTTGAATGATCCTTACATGTGCAACATGTCCCCAGTAGGACATTTTGTGGTTTGGTAGGTGGGAGGAAAAACTATTACCAACTGAAATTTTGTGGTAGGATGAAGAAAATATGTCAGACCATGCTGCTGTGTCAGCCAGACTGAAGCACTGTCTAGATATAGCTCAAATGCATTAAACCAAGGCAGCTGACTGATGTCAGAAATCCCTTCCTGTTGCTATGGCTCATCCGCAATACAGAAACTAGCTGGCTCCCACATGTAATCCCAGCTACTTGTGAGGCTGAGGCAGAAGGACTGCTTGAGCCCAAGAGTTCAAGACTGCAGTGACCTATGACTGTGCCACTGCACTCTGTCCTGGGGAACACAGTGAGAACTCTATTTGAAAAAAAAAAAAAAAAGCCAGGCATGATGGCTCAGACCTGTAATCCCAGCACTTTGGGAGGCCAAGGCGTGCAGATCACAAGGTCAAGATCATCCTGGCCGACATGGTGAAAGCTGTCTCTACTAAAAATACAAAGTCCCAGATACTCAGGAGGCTGAGGCAGAATTGCTTGAACCTGGGACATGGAGGTTGCAGTGGGCCGAGATCATGCCACTGCACTCCAGCCTGGTGACAGAGCAAGACTCTGTCTTGGGAAAAATAAACAAAACTAGCTTGCACATCCTCTAAAGGGTCCAAGGCAATTCATCTTCTGCTCTAACAGAGCAAAAAGAAAATAACCAGTGACTTGGCCGTATCTTGCTGGCCCCTGCCTGGCTTCCAGAAATAGGTTGTCTTTCTGGTGAACTGCACACAAAAACCATACACAAAAAAAATCTTTTTGGTTTTATAATTAACAGATGTTCACTATAGAAAAACTATAAAGTACAAAAAAGCAACAGTAAAGTGCTTTTTGTAGCACTCTTTTGTAGGCCTCCTATTGTAGCAGCCAAGACCCCTACTTTTTTTTTTTGAGATGGAGTCTATCTCATCACCCAGGCTGGAGTGCAGTGACGTGATCTTGGCTTACTGCAACCTCCGTCTCCTGGTTTCAAGCAATTCTTCTGCCTCTGCCTCCTAAGTAGGTGGGATTACAGGTGCCCGCCACCACATCCAGCTAATTTTTGTATTCTTAGTAGAGACGGACTTTCACTGTGTTGGCAGCTAGTCTCGAACTCTTGACCTTGTGTTCTGCCTGCCTCGGCCTCCCAAAGTTGTGAGCCACTGCGTCCAGCCAGGGACCCCTCTTTCTACAGGCATGTCTGCACATCACCAAATCTGGTGATGGATTCTGAGGTGGGGCCCTGGAATCTGTATTTTATAAAACCTCTTTAAGTGGCTGGGTTCCATAGTCCTAACAATTATCAGTCTGATCTCTTTTGTTCTCCTTCACCATCCTTTCTTATATAAGGAGCTTGTTTCCAGGAGGGAACATACTTTTCCTGAAAGGAATCCTCCTTAGTTCCCACTCAGCTAAATGGCTGATTTTTAGAACCAGGGGCACTTATCTGATCCCAGAATCCTCAACACCATCTGTGGCCACCTTACCCGAACATGTGGCTGCAATTTCCTTGTTAGCAGCATCAGGGGCATGGGCCCAAGGGTTGGTTTCACGCACAGGCATTGCTACGGGTGCTAGAGCAGTATGGGCTGGCTTAGCAGCAAGCACATGGAAGGCTGAGTCAGTGCCATTAGCTACAATGGGAGCAGACAACATCAATGAAGTTAATTCATGCAGGGTGTACAAGTGACCCCTTGGAGCTGGGTCAAGTCAGGTGAATGCACAATGCTGGTGGAATGGTTAAGAGAGAAGAGTTAACCATGGGATAACCCTGATATCTTGCACTGGATGTACATACCATTAGGCAAAAAGGGGAATTAGAGGTTGTAATTTTTAAATGGTTATATAAAGTCAAATCACTGTTCAAGCCTACAAAAACAATTTCAAATTAAGGTGAACAGAGCTGCTTTGTCTTAGGAGTAGCAGAAAAAAAAAATTCTAGATGTAGATTAGGGTTTGGCATAATGAAGTAGGTATAGCAT